GCTTTCCCAGTGTCACGATGTTGACTATTAAAGTGTCCGCTTTCAAGACTCCGTCGACTCTATCGGACGTGCTTCCAATGCCGCACCACAACATCCGCACGTTGCACATTATCATACCCCAATTCGCGAACATGGACGTCATTCGCAATATATGCACGCCGCGGGCTAGGCGCCTCCAGCTGACCGGGCCTGCAGTATGGAAATTAGCGCCTATGCAGTTATTCCTCGAGAGATCTGGATGTATTCTCCATGAACTCATCTTGGACGACATCAAGCTTCGTGCTACCGAGCTTGTATCCTTCCTCCACATCCTCCCAACTCTCACTTCGCTCGTTCTGGCTGACATGCCTGCAATAGCAGTCAGCGAATCCCTGTTCAAATCGCTTCTAGTTACGGACTCCGAGCCCGCCCTCCTTCCTTCGTTGACTCGGATCGCATTGATTGGATCGCAACTCGGCACCACCAATGGCATTTTAACCATGCTGGAGTCCCGCGCGCGACCTCACAGTCACTGCTCTTCGCTGGTGGCGATAGAAATCCGTATTTTGGACCGACGATTGACGTCGATTGACACTCGATGACCGCATGCGGTTCGGTGCATTGCCTGTTCCTCAACTGGATATCTATTTCCGTCCATGATGCACAAGGGACCAGACTGAATGATCAAGCTGTCACGATAGATTAATCTAGTTATCTTGCTGAAAAATCTACAGTTTAATAAGAGGTCGACGAAGGAATCGGAGGTGGTGTATGGGACACCGCGAGCTCATCTTGTGCAAGAGTGTTAACGGCAGCTCGCAGTCCGGGGTTCGACTGCCCGTGCGCCATCCGTATTTCCATAGATCATTCAGGGAGGAATCGGAGGTGGTGTACGGCACACGGCGAGCACATCTGGCGGATTTTGAATGAGAAGTAGCTCGCAGGAGGAGGTGCGACTCACTGCGTCCGAATTGTCTTCTTGTTTCTCCATCCATGCTTGAAAGTCTACAGTTTAACAAGTTTAACCTGGATCTGCCCTTCTCTTTTCTCACCACGTATGCTGGAACGGGTTGTAGGTTATCCAAGTTACAAACAGAGCAAATACTCGGACATGGTGTACGGAATACAGCAGGCACACCTGGCTGTTTGGTTGTCACGGTTAACATTAACGCACAGTACGGGGTTCGACTCCCCGCGTCCGAATGTCTCTCCGCTGATCTTTTTTTTTTTGCCGTGCATGCTGAAATTTGTTGCATATAATCGACAGCGTAAGCAGATTAATGGATGAGCGCAAGCACATATAATGGATGGGATGGAAGGATGAATGAACGCGGTTGCAGATTAATAAATTTAAACGCGCACGAATAAAATAAAGGGGAACAAAACAAAAACGCAATAAGTATAGGATGCCCCGGTAATGTATGCAGGATGCCCTGGTAATGTACGCCTCCAGCATCGCATCCAGGCCCGCGATTGCCTTCTAACCAGGATTGATGAAAATAATTAATTCGCAGACGAGTCAGGATGATGCGAAACAACGCACGGCTGCATATACATCGCGCGCGCGTGCGGCTCAATGTTCGCGAACTCGACGGACGCTGAAAGTCCTTACTTACATATATAGGAGCCAGCCATCTGGAAGCGGAATGGCTCAAGTATCATAGATTTGCTTCGGTAGACGAACAAGTACGGGGGAGATAAGCAAGGCTGGTGAAAAACGGCCAAGTCCCAGATCTAGAAAATGCGCGTTTGAAGCAGTAGAGCACTGGAACACGACGCGGAAAATCGGGCTTCATAGTTGTCAGATGGAACAGGGCTCGAAGCGAAGTCGCGGTTCGACCTGAGTACACGGCCCAAGAAAGCCAGAAGCAGGATTATTTGTACACCATGCAGGATTTGACGAAAGGAAATCAAGTGCTCTGTTGAGTTCGAGGTCGACGAAGTAACCGGGGGGAAGAGACTGCGGATATATATTCATTGGTAGATAACCCTGCCGTAGATGAGCGAGTACGAGTTGAGTACGAGCAAGATGGGTCCGCATTGTGTAAACAAAATTCCGAAGAGTAAGCCAATGTCTCAGAAAATGCGCCTCTACAGTAGTATGATTGTGCAGAAAAGAATAGAATGCCGAAAATCGGACTTGAAGAATAGCGAGGTTTGCGCGTGAAGCGGGGCCAGACAAAATTTGGGTTGGATTCGAGGGCTCAATGGACCAGAAAACGCGAGGAAGAGGTGGGATATACGAGCTTGAAGAAAATAACGACAGGAAGGACGAACAACCAACGACAACCTGGTGGTTTGAGCGGTGACGAGAGCGTCAACAAGCATCAACAACCAAGCAGAGACCACGACGTTCGTAACCAAAATGCATCCCTTCCTCCGGAACGAGCTCTTCACAGAGATAATTGCCAACGCCGCCCCCGCTGGTGGACCAATCTGCGCTGTGCTGCGCCTGCAAGCTTCTCAGCAGGGGTGCGCCGCGTCCTCTAAGTACTAGTCACCCCGCGCCGCCCTGGCCTGATATACAACCCTGAGCTGGCCCTCCTTGTCTAGAGCTTTGACATCAACGCGTCGAAGCTCGATGGGTCCGTATTAAAAGAATATTCACTCCACAGCGCTTGACCTCGATTTTCTGTCTTTTCCCCAGATATGAGCGCCTCGATATTGAGTGTGCACGCGAGGGCGGCGGATAGGAGGTCCATGGCATGGATGTCGGTCCTACACCTTCTTTTTCGCGCGCGGAGCGCCGCCCTTCATCAAGTGTATCGTGCCCCCCGCATTCCGGATCCCGGCCCTGCGCCGTCGACCTAGCCCGCATTGCTTCGCGTTCCTCCAGATGCGCCCGCGCCTCGTGGTACGCAAGCTCTTCGGACCCACCGCGCCCTTTGCTGTGCCCCTCTCAGGCCCTGCCTCCAGGAGCTGCGCTACATCAACGCCACCGCGGCTGTCTTCCCCGCTTTGCTTGCTCCCGGTCGCCTGGAAGCTCGCCGACCCACCTGCTACCGCCGCTCTTGGCGCTTGCCGCTCATCGCGTCTGATGTTCCTCTCGACGACGAACGAATGTATTCCTGCTGTGACTGTACTTTCATACTGTGCTATATGTACCCGCCCACCGACTGCAATCCACAGCGCTGGGCTGTGTGGCCGCGGACAAATCTACGCCGGCGTGCCAAGCCCAAGAGCCGCACGCACGCCATCGGATGCATGCGGTACAATACTCCATGAGACTAAGGTGGCTATCCCGCGCCTCTCCATTCACATCCATTCACGCCGCGAGAGGACAACGCGCGCGGAGGAGCCCTCACGTCCCTCGCATCCTCATATCCCTCACATCTTCATATCTGCCTCCCCCGCACCCCTTCCACCCGCCCCACGACCACCACGCTCGTCATCATGCTCGCAAAGGCGAGCATGATCGCGGAGAGAACGACGCCGGTGAGGAAGAAGACCTGCAAGGGAGGGGGGTTAGGAAGAGAAGGAACGGGAGAGGAGGAACGGGAATGATGATAAAGCGGGGGAGGGGGGATGGGAGCAACGAGAGTGACATAAAGACTCACCACAACAAACACATTCAGCGGCACGCGGAACAGCGCCCCAGCGTCTCGCGGTGCTCGTTCGGGATGAAGGAGCCGCGCAGGCGCCCACGCACCCCTCGAACACCCAGAACGCACAGAAGCAGACGCGCTCGTCCCGTTGCGGGGCAGAGACCGCGAGTGCGACCCCCGCGATCCCCGCGACCCCCGCTGAGCTTTGCGTGCGTGGCATGCGCCCCGGCGAACGTGTAGAAGGACGAGCCGAGCATCATGGAGAGCATGAACGCGGAGAAGATGGACCCGAGGGGCAGCAGGCCGAGTATGGAGAGCTCCTGGAGCGCGCGCACCCGGAGGAGCGAAGAGGTACATGGAGCCCTCGAAGCACATCTGCGTGAGCCCGAGCACGAGCAGGCGCGGGTCCTCGGGCACGATGCGCACGCGATTTGGAAGGGGTCGGCACCGCTGCCACCGCCGTTTACGGTGCCGCCATAGTTCCCCGCCCACGTCCCGCAGATGACGGCCCACGCGAGCACGAGCACGAGCAACGCGCCGCTCACGACAAAGGGCGTGCCGAACGAGCGGGAGACACCGACAAGCGTTGCTGAGGACACCTGCGCCGGTATCGACGAGCCCGTTGACGAGCGTCGCGCAGCCCATGAGCGCGTTGATGAGCCACGCCTCGAACGCGCTCGAGGCGCCACCGACCACGCGGCCGAGCAGCAGGATCGGGAGGAAGGGCCCGCACATGCAGACACCCGCGCCAGCGTACGCCGCGCAGAAGACGAGGCAGAGGCGCTTACGGCCGTGCTGGTCCCCCGACACCCCCACGCGAAGAGCCCCGCGGAGACGAAGCCTGTGACAAAGAGGACCGCGATCGTGCGCTCGCTTAAGGCGTATTGCTCGCGGTACGGCGAGTACACGTAGGGGCCCTGCAGCCAGTCTGCGCTTGCACAGGGTCAGCTTATGGGCGACACCAAAAACGAGAACGGACCCATGACGATGGCGTAGACCAGCAGATACTGGCGAGTCAGCGTAGCAAGTGCGCCGGCGCCTCTAGCCCCGCTCAGTCCGCCGCCCTCAGCGCGCTCCTCGCGCGAGTCCGAGTCTTCAGCAGAGAGTCGCCGCGGGGCTTAACGGTCCGCGAGCACGCCAATGGCGCAGACAACCGCAAGGTAGAGGAGCTGGAACTCGTAGAATTTGTTGCCTCGCATGGTGAACAGACTTTTTTGCGGATCGTTTCTACATTTTTTTCCGCGCGGCGCGAAGGATGTGGGAAGATTACATAACCGGCGAAAACCTACAATAAATACTCGGATGTGGTGTACGGCGCACCGTGAGCCCACCTAGCTGACTTAGGCTGGCGTAGCTCGCAGACCGGGGTTCGACTCCCCGCGTCCGAATGGTCTGGCGGTTTCGCTTTTTTTCTTCTTTTCAATTCCCCTGTTTAAAATTTCCATAGATTATGCAAAGCATGGATGAAGAAAGGAATCGGACGTGGTGCACGGTGCACCGCGAGCACACCTGCGAAGGAAACCGGAATAGAAGTAACTCGCAGGTCGGGGTTCGACTCCCCGCGTCCGAATGAGTATTCTGTGTTTCCATTCGGCCTCGCATCCTCTTCCGTTATGCTAAGTGTGAATTATTTCAATCCCTACAGTTTTTTGATTCTGTATACTAGTGTACATATTGGCATTCAGAATTCAACTTCAGGTTGGATAACATCCGTTCAGAGCGCAAACCCAATGTATCGAGTCTTCAAATCCGGACCATGCCTGATGTTAAACGTCTTATCAAACCATTTGTGGAGTCGTTCACCTGGAAAAATCACGCACATGAAAGATGGAAGACAGGGACAGTACCCGGAAGAAGACCGGTGATGCGCACGCTCTTGGTGCTATGTCCTGGCAAATATTTAAAATCATTTTCTTTTTAAATATTCAGTGTAGGTACGTTAAAATATTCTAAAGTGCTTCGCTTCCAAGTGTTACTTAACGCAGGCGTTACACTGCGCAATACGAATTTTTGCTTAGCTCGGTGTCACACGTTCGATACCCGGCACACGCTTTCTTTTTAACACACTTACTTCTTGGACATGGCGAACATCGGTCTACCACTTCTAGGTCCTTAGCTCTTCTTTGGTACTCCTCACTACCAATTTTTGATACTCTTGGGCACCTCCGAGTTACCTAGCGCGCTTCTAAGGTCACCCTCAAGCAGTTCACGAAGCCGACGCGCTACACCGTCCGCACTTTCGGCATCCGACGAAACGAGAAGATTGCCGTGTATGTCACCATCCGAAGGCACAAGGCGGAGCAGATCCTCGAGCACGGGTTCAAGGTCAAGGAGTACGAGCTGCGCCGCCGCAGATACGCGCAACTTCGGGACATCGACTTGCTACGACCCCGGAATCGGCATCTTTGGGATGGAGGTCGTTCAGGGCCGCGCAGAGGTGGCAGCAGAAGGCGCACATTGGATTTTTGCACAGTATTAAGAAGGACGATAGCTTTAAGCAGCGCTGCAGCGCTTCGATGGCATTATTTTGGTGGGTGACTTTTATTTTTTCCAAGCTCCCCGTGGACTGCTGCCTTTCCCTCCCATGCCTCGTCCCTCCCTCCAAATCCCTCATGCTAATTTAAACCTACTCCCAATAAATAATCTGTCTTCCCTGTCGTATGCTAGATATACCATGATGATGTGTCGTTCTGCACAAAGTGTCGTGTCTTCATTCTGCCCGCCGAGGAGCACCGTGAGGTCGTGCCATCCCAACCTACATTGCTGTATGTAAGATTGGTGATTTCATCGGGGACTCACGCTGCGTACTGTCCAGTCCTTCATTTTCCTTTATTTTCTCTCTTTTTTTTTTCGGCTAAGCTTTCCCGCTGGCGCGATTCACACTGGGCGGCGCATGCCTACGTCTGCATCTGTGCGCTGTTGTCGTCCGCGCATCCGTGCACTATCTGCTGCGTGCTGTCCGCCCTGTTTTCTTTCCTGTTTTTTTGGAAGTGCGCTTTCCCGCCGGCCCGATTCACATTCTTGCTTGCTACTTGCACCTTCGTGCTCTGAACTTCTACATCGTTGCGCGCGCCGCACGGAGGCGACAGCAGGAGGCGCTCATTGGCTCCTTGCACCGTATCAAGCAGGCCGATACGATGCGTGGTTGCGCCCTATTCCTGTGATTTGTCTTATCATTTTTCAATATTCAAGCTGGCATTACCCCCCAGAAATCATCTGTCTGCCATGTCGTATGCTAGAGATGGTAGTACATGACATACCTATTGTACGATGAGTCCGCAGGCTCATTTATTGTCGACGCAAAACCTCCGGTGTCAAAAATGCAATAAATTTTCAAACTTCTTTCCTTGCTCAACTCCTCGTTAACCCCTCGAACGCCGCGGCAGGCGAGGATGTATCTTCTTCGAACTGATTGCACCTGGAGTCCCGTATCACGGGCACTGCTCAGGAGCTGTCGAGTCAGAATTCCAGTGATGCGATAGGCTGATTGATCTTCTACAACATGTGTGTTTATAGCAATAGAAACCTTGGGGATAGGGCGGGGGTGATGCGCGGCGGCCGCGTTCAGCTCGCCGTCGTACCATGCGGACGTAAGGAGCCCGCCGTCGTATCAAGCGGGGATGTGGAGCGCGGTGTGGCCTACGCCGCAGCACGCGACAGCGACGAGGACACAAGATCAGGTGCGATGGCGCCGCAGACGCAAAACGGTGGCGTAGCAGCGATGAATGGTGGGACAGGGACGCCGCAGCACGCGCCGCGCCAGCGTCGGGGCTCCAGCGCCACTCGCTCACGCCGTACACCGCGAGTTCGCGCACGGCTGCGTCGACGTATTGACCAACGAGCTCCGCGTACGCGGCGCCACTGACGACGGCGCCCGCAGCAGCGCCGACACTCACCATCCCTTCATCTAGTGCTGCTACCCCAAGCTTCCACACGACGCCAGCAACGACGAGGGTGAATGAGGAGGTAAGAGAAGAAACCAGACTCGTGCGCACTGCTAGGGCAAGTCTTATAGAAAGAGGCGCGGCTTGTCTTCAAGGCATGTGGCTGGTTATCTTCACAGTATGTAGCAGTCTGTCTCGTTGCATTCTCCTGGACATTACAATGCCAGGAAACTAGGCAGGTCGACAGAGAGCTAGGCCACGACGACTACGCGGCGACTCGGCGCATGAGATCAGTGGCGGCCAGATAGTAGTTGTTGGGGTTGAGACTGGAAGTGACCATAGTGCCGTTAGCCAGTTACGGGGGCCTTCCGTGCCTTGCGTAGACTCTGCGTATTGCGGGAAGAGCTGCAGAAGGAGCGACAAACGGCGAGCACTGGCAGAAATGAGCTGCGGAGCCTCGGCGGATCATGTCCAAATGGAGGCAGAAATCCATGCCCAAGAATGGGCATGGTGACGCGCCAGGACACTGCACCAGAACCTCCTACGCTGATCGCAAAACCGTACTAAACTTGGTTACTGATCCGAACTGGTGGCTATGCCATGGTTCAACTTCGTTCAACCTGTCTGTAACGGGCAAGGGACTCCGAAAGGGGAAAGGAGCTGGAATCTCTGGAAAGAAAGAGAGAATGAAGAAAGAGGAAGTCCCAAGTGAGAAGAGGGGTCCCAAAACTGGCGTTGATTCGACCAAGAGAACTACGACGAACCAAGAGCTATATAAGTACAAGAGTAGCGGAGTATGAGTAATCTAATAATATGAACAGATCGGAGTATGATTAATCTAATAATATGAACTGAGATAAATCTAGATAAATATGATGAGAATCATAAGTAATATCGTGAAAATGCGGAGAGTTCGGAGAGTATCGTAAATTATAACTAGTACATGTAAGGGGCATGTCCGGAATATTCCATGACCGTGACACTGTCGCCCAAGCCTCGCCGACTTATTCTGCCGACTCCCAACAACGTCGACACTGCCCCAAAATAGTCCCCGAGCCCGCTGCATGTTCACGCACCGGGTACACTTTTAATTTCCCTTTCATTTCTTCTTACGACTTCGGTGACTGGTAGAATTTAATTTACCTGTTTTTGCTTGTTATACACGAACCACCGGCTACTTATTACCCGGTTCAACCACAGTTTCAACCATTTGCACGCTTTCTTTAGTAGTTTTATTTTGCTCATTTTTTCTTGAGCTCTGTATAAAAGCTAGCTAGATATTAGACAGTTTGCGCTGCAGCCATCTGATGGCTGATGGCTACAAAGCCTCCGATTTTTCGCTCAACCTTCGGTACCTTTTAGCCACTTCTTGTGCCTCAAATTGTCACTCATGGAGGCCTCTATTATTCATGAAAAATTCCCGAAGGAGAGTGTTCAGAATGATCAATATCCGTAGCCATCCAGTGGCTCGGATGGCTCTGCGCAAACTGTCTATTTTCAAAAGAACAACAAAGGTTTTCCCCTCCAGCTCAAGTTTATTCGATTCTGCAATAGCCCTCGTCTCTCTCTTGTCGCATTTCGTCGTCCTCCGTCGTCCATCCGAGCAGCCTTTAAAGTTGCTATAAAAATCAGCCTACGTCCTGTCCCCTCTGCATTGGCGAGCACTGACTTTGTTAGGATCCCTCGCACATCAATACACTGTCCTGCGGTCCTCTGAGCAGCCCTGACGCACCCACCTATCGCCTTTATTTGTTTTAGCTCCGCTCTTAGCCGCACCGCAGGCATATCACCGGAACATCGAAAGCTCCGGAGTGGTTGTCTTCAAATGTACATGTACAGGCACAAAATGACAAATGTCATGTTCCGTATCAGCGCGTCGGCTTCAGTTTCTAATCATTAAACTGAGATCGGAACTGCCACTGACTCCCGGCTTTTTTCTATTGCGCATTTGGTATTTGGAATTCAACTTCAGATAACATCCGTTCTCAGCGCAACGTCATTTTTCTGAGTCGAAGAAGACACTGTATTTAGTTTATCAGTCACTTGTACGTTTGAATGTATATCAGCTTCAGAGGCGTGACATCCGGCTCTGAACTGCGTCCTGAACGCGGTATGTCAATCCCTAATTCAAGTTCAGATTAAATAACATCCGTTCAGAGCGCAAACCCGATGTAGGACCATGCCTGATACCTAGAGCTCCATTCTTTCACCCCATTTGTGGGAGCGTTCGCCTTAAGCTTGACAAGTGACGGTGGAAGTGATGGTGGAAGGCCGGGACATCGAAAGCTCCGGAATGTGACGATATCGAATGCGGCTCAAGCGCCTTCAGCCTACAACTAGCGAGATATAAGTTAATGTAGTCCGTCTAAGAGAGACTATCTTCGGCCTCTACAGCAAAAATGCAAGAAACAAAAAGCGATCTTATTATTAGCGCCGCAGGATTCACGAACACGGACAGTCCCTATGGGCCCCAGAAGTTCGTCAGGCATTGAACTACCCGACTGTGACAGAAGGAAGTCGATGTGTTCAATAATTGTCATGTTCCATAACAGCGCGTCAAATTTAGTTTCTAATTGTTGAACTGATACCGGAACTCCCTGCTGTTTCTGCTACAGATCTAGATTTCGCATTTGAAATCCAACTTCAGATTGGATAATTCATAAAAAAAGCTTCGGACAGACAGAAT